GATTAGCCTAGTTGCTTGTCTTGCGGCGGGACACAAAACAAAAATCTACCAAGATGATCTTCGCAAATTAGACGCTGAAATGCCCAAGTTGTTGCGAAGAGTTGTTGGTCCTCAGTTGAAGACAATGTTGCGCCGGTCAAGGTTGAAAGTTTGCTCTGGTATTGTCTTAAATAAATATTCATAGTATTCGAAGTTTACAACTTACGTTCCTCGTCGCTGGGTCGTCCGGGCATGGGTTTGGAACATTTTTGGAACCCTATTGATCGCATTGTCGACTCCGTGCCATCTTTTTGAAGCGATAAAAAATCAAATCTCTCCGCCTTAGAAAAAACATTGGCAATTGGGCGCTTGCTGCCAATGAACGCGCTTTCTGGAACGATGAGTTTCCTGAATGATTTCTGTCTACTGGTTGTGAAAGCTGGGCGTAGCTATGTTTGTGATGCACTTAATTTAACTTGCCGGTGCCGCAATGTGTGCACGAATTACATTGAAAGAACCATACTATCGACGATCATTTCGGAAAACATATTTGGATTAACTTATCCACCTCACATTTACACCATCTCCACCTCACAGTATCGCACCCCATATCATCACCACTGCATCTCCGCTTCACATCATCTCTCCCTCACATCATGTTCATTTGACACAGACAGATATCTTAAAGTATGTCAAAGTAACAAAAATCAAAAACAAGAAATGTCAAGAGCAAGAGGCACCAAGGGAAAAAGCAACCAGGAGAAAGAGATGTCAACCCCAGCCCACCCAACAGGCGCTCCACCCCAACCCACAAGCAATGTAGCAATTGCACGTGCAAGTGCAAGTGCGCATTGCTGAGCATAGCATCAACGACACATAAAGATGCGAGATATGCAAGCGAACCGTCGAAAGAGAAAAATGATGAAACATATTGAAAAATGTCAAAAGACAGAGGCATCAAGTGAAACAGACATAGATGTCAAGGGTAACACACAGCCTACATTGCGGTACCAGTGGGCATGCGGCACAGAGTTCTTGTAGTTGCTTTAGACGAAGCAAGAGGGGCAGGGCGGCAGGGCGCGATCATTTGCCATCTACAGCGTGTCTGTCAATTCGGTAGCCATGGTGCCCCAGAGGATCACGCGGACGTCAATGCAACCAATAAACGAGCTGGAAGTGGCAACCTTTCCACAGCTGCTCATTAGGACGCAACATGGATGTGGCACGTGTCAAAAAGTTGCACGATGGGCGAGTCGCTCCATGTCCGCAAAGGGCAACGAATGCACCGTCACTATGGGGAGGGTATCACGAGCGAAGCTCTGCGCAAATCAAAAAGGCAAAACCATGTCTGCAGACAATAATAGCATTGCTGTGGTGAACGGAATAGCATGCTCCACTGTCACTTCTTTCAAAGCTCGCGCTTGTGGACTGCGGTAATCGCATTGGTTTACTGGATTAGGGCTCCCTTTCTTGCTGTGGAATGTGTTTTTTTTTCCGCAGAATGGGCCAATGGGTCTCATTCCCGTAGGTTGGACTTACGCCACAAAAATGCTTTAAACATTTTCCCTACGCACGCTTGGAGGAGTCTCTTCTTGTATCGTGCGGTGTGTTGACGCCGATGCCTTCGCTTCTCATCGCCTTGAGCGTTGAGCATGACCTTCCCGTCCCCTGTCATTCCAAACCCTGCAGCCGGCCCTTTCTGCGCCGAACGAAGTGCAATGCTGCAGCAAGGCAGGGACCGGTGCCAGTGAAATGCTTCAAGCATCACTCGGGACTTTGGAGATGTTTGGATCACACGCGCATCACATTGCAAGCGTGCAAAGTCCTAAACAAGTTAATTGCTAGATATTGCTAGCCGAGAAAAACGAATCACCTGGGATCTTGCCGGTTTCCGGCAACGTTTCGGTCACTCCTCATTCCTCCTCTTCTCTTCACTCTTGATCTTGCACCAGAAAACCAAGTTGATCAAACATGGTATGCCATGCATTTTCAGAGGAGGTTTCTGATTTCTGACTAGCATCCAATCTTGAATGCTGCACGACAGAGCTGCAAAACACTCTTAACATGTCATGCAATGTGTTAACTCCTTTCTTTCTCACCACATCTCACGAAAGGGTGCCTCCTTGCTTCCACTTAAAGCTGCTGCTTACACCAACCTCAGCATCACGGCCCCCAGTTCCCGCAGAGATGGCATGATTCCACAACTTTGCCCAAAGAAAAGCAAAGCTTTAGAGCAGGACCTGACAAACTGTCCGGCATTCAACCAAATTTATCCCGGACTACGTAATGCTTTATCATGACTTGACATCTGAATATCTTGGAGCGCATATGCTTTTTGATTTTTTGATGCCTCAAATATCCTCAAATGCTTCATCTGCTGTCTCTCCTCTTCGCTTTCTGCAATCAAAATGAGTCCTTTCCTTGGTGATGTGACCAGCTGATTTCTGCTTTGAAGACAGGATATGTAGAAAGTTTTCAGACTTCGTTTGCCGATTCCAAAGAAGAAGTTCATAGAATCACACTGAACTCGGCAAAATCTTGCAGTTGTGGCTCCCTCGGAAGTGCACGAATATGCTCAAGTAGGCTTACTTGCATCAACATCATGTAGGTCCTTCATATCAAATACGCCTTGGCTGGTGGCAATCATACTCCGGACCATCTTGCTACAATGGAAGGTTGAAAGAACGACCACATATTTTTTTGAACAATCTCAGAAATGTTTTTGCAACCCAATTTAGGCCAAGGGTCTAATTAATTGGAAATGCTTTGTCCTTTTTCGAATTACCGCCACAAGGGACCATGTCGCCTTTGGTTGCAGCTCCTGGTAAGGTTTGCAAAAGTTTCCGGAGAAGAAACGATACAGTTCAACATCAACCAACAGACGACATCATCCAACGTCATCCAACATCATTTAACAATGCAAGTGCGCAGCTCTTGACCGACTTGGCTATCTGCAGCTGCTCAGTCCTCAATCTTATAAACGAGACTCAAAGGAGGACGTTGGTTCCAAATCACCAAAGTGCCAGTGTGTTCGTCTAGCTCCAAATATCGCCTGACAAAGGCTCAAGGGACAGCACTGTCATGGCAAGTGGGGAGGGCATGCAGAACAGTGTTGATGAAATCTGTGAATCACTGTGCCACATCAAATGCAGAGTTTTAGAAGCCCCATGCACAGCACAGTTCCAAGTGAGTTTAGTGTAGCACATGCCCAACTACTAGTAGGAACTATGATTTTGATTATCATCTATCATTCATCTATGATCATCGATTATCCATATTGCTGAAAGATGATTTCTTTGAGGCTTACCTTAGGCTTACCGGGGCTTTCTTGTTTATCCTTTCCCTGATATGCTCCGCTCGGTCCGGGTGTGCTGAGATAGTTCACCTCTCAGTGGCTTTCATGTTTGAAGCCATAGCTAAAACCTGCACCAAATGCTAACGCGCGTCTATATGAAGTGGGTACCGCTGCTAGTTGTTAGTGTTGGAACTGGAATATTTTTTCATCTGCTGCAAGGCTTGTCGTTGCCTTTGCTGTCACTGTTGCTTTGGTCAAACAAACAGGATAAACTACAAGTTCTCTGGTGGCGACTGGGTCACGGGTCAGCCAAAGCCGCTTTTTGAAACTTTTGCTAGCGCATTGCTAGCGGGGATCTAGCGGGTTTGCTAGCGCTGCCTTGCAGAATTGGTGAATTGAGTTGCGTGCCGCCTCATAATGAAGAGGAAAAACCACTAGGTCCACACTAATTATCAACAACTGGTACTAAACTTCTGTCAACTATTTTTGGCAAATGGTCATATATTGTTTAATATTATATTATCATACATAAATTATTGTTACATGATAGTACATGTTAATATGCCAAATATGACCAGCTCCAAGGGCTCCACAAGGGCACCTTACGGAGTGCCACAAGCAAATGTGTCTTTCACTCGTTGTTGTTTGTTGCACACAGTTAGTGCTGCAGAGCGTCCAGTGTACTTTTGTACATATTGGATCGCTTTCTTCTCGCGCTCAAGTCGCTCTTTTCCGGCATTGATCTTGGATGCAAGATTGTTCAGGATTTGTATATGACATGAAGTAGTCCAGCTTTGACTAGGAAATCTGCAGCTGAAATTTGTATGTCAAGCTCATGCAAATATGTATTTATCATTCATCTAAGGAACATCAAAATGAGTACATACAGCATGGCATCACAGAGCGTACTTGCGTCTTCCTTTCCTTTTTAACTTCTAAAACACTTTCGGTCTAAAACTTTAAAACCTTCAGAAACTCTGTACAAAACTCCAACGAAATGAAACAGGTAAGTCTTCCACTCTTCCTGGAGCTCGTCGTATCTCGTTCCCCACATGTGCCTCATGTGCCTGGCTCAATTCACACTTGTGCACCAACATATTGACTAAAGCAGAAGACAAGTCCTGAAGCAACTTGTGAAGCACCAATCATTTCTCTCACAAAAACACTGCAAGCATAGGCAAGCAATAAATTGTAAAGCGAGCTTCTTCAACATGGCAGTTCTGCATCAAATTCTGCCATCAACAGGTTTCGCCTGAAGCATAATCTGGAGAAACTGTGAACATGTGCACATGTTGGAAAAGGCAACCAGACTTGTGACGAGCCCGTTGAGACAATGCTGGGCAATGCCCGTGGGCACAAGTTGAGCCAGAACAGTTTGGAACGCATGCAACCTTGTTTTTGTACCTTTCAATGCTGCGGATACAAAGGCACCATGCGGTCATTGCAGGAGTTGCTAGCTTTGCCCAGTTTTTTGGCACGAAGCAGTGACAGCAGTTGCTTTGCACCAGCTGTCGTGTTCTAGGAATGAGGAGATTGCAAGCATATTCCACCGTATTTTCAGTCGAAGAAATGTGCACTCCCAAAATTTCATGACCTTTTCAATCCTTTTCAGGGTGGAAGGTGGGACGCATTGCTCCTCTTTCTACATCTCATCGAATCTCAGCTGCAGCTCGTACACTGTAACTTGTTCAATAATTGAACAATTCTATACTGCGCATTTTTAAGCTCAGGCTTTTTTGCAACCATTCAGAACGTATGGCTTTCCACTTTCAGAACATGCTTCGACATGTGCTTTGCCAGTATAGCCCTCCACACAGGTGGCACTGACGTCGAAGTTGCTCTTCCAGAGCGAGCGCTCCTTATCTTTGGCCGATGCCCGCGCTGGCGAAGGTCCCTTGATGAAACACTTATCCACCCCATGTGGAACTGCAAAATATATCAACATATATCAAAATATATCAAAAAAACGAATTGGGTCCAAACTGGATGGCGCGTTAGTTGCCGTTTGTTCACAAAAGTAGCTGGCTTTCAAAGCGTTCCAAACGCCCAAGATCGCCCAACATCGCCCAAGTTACCTAAATCTTAAGACATGTTCAGACTTGACCAACTCAACGCATCATTAGCCAATGGTTTGGCCAGGTATCATCCAGCTTGTAGCCAGAGACATCTGCAGGTGACACGCACGTTGGGTCCTTTGTACAGCCCTGAAGCTTGTAAGGCTGCAAACGTGTCGTGCACGGAGAAACGACGGCCTCAGATTTCCGTTGGTCGGAAAATGCCGCCTTTTTCGATTCGGAAAAGAAATAGAAAGAAATAGGCAGGAATTGGGACATGGACAAATCAATCCCAGTGAAACTGAGACATGGCATGGTGTGAAACTTGGAGTTCCACAACTCATCAAGGGGAAGGACAAGGGAAGGACAAGGGAAGGTAAAACATGGTAAAAACATGGTAAAACATGGTAAAACATGGTAAAACATGGTAAAACATGGTAAAACATGGTAAACCATGGTAAACCATGGTAAAACGATGTAAAACGATGTAAAACGTGTTGACTGCGAGGGCATGAGCAAATGTTAGATACCAATGGTGCATAGTTTTGCAGCCATGACCATACCGGACTCCCATGTTTGCTTGAACTTTGCCACAGATGCCGAATCAAAATACCAAGCGACTGTACCCACGAAACCTTTGGCGCACTTGGCAGCGACTTCGAAATCGTGGATATGAGTACTGACCTCCGAAACCACATAGCCTGGGCACAAAGGCTTTTGACTTGCAACTGTCATATTTGACTCCTTCCCAAATAGATCACTCAATTGAAAACAGCTGATTCCAAAGTACGGATTGAAAGCAGACACTGTTTAAATTCCAGAAACACGAACCTGTTGTGTTCAATTGCATTGACCGATGAACAAGGCCACATCTACATCGTTTCATTTCCGGCCTGAAGAGTCCAGTGGTGCAGTGCACGTTCTGACTAGATTGCAACCGCTGAGTTTGTAGGGCTTGCCATGACCCTCGCATGGAGAGATCACCGCCCGACCTTTCAGCGCTGACTGTGCACTGAAACTACTGAAACCTGCCAAAAACACATCAAACCTGCCAGGCTGCGCCAGCCTGTGGGAAATTGCAAAAAAAACAAGACTGGGTTCATAATACTTGACCAATTGTTGACATGTTTTGCTCCTACTTTCTATGGAATTTCGCATCCTTTTCGTTTGCATCCTGAATAATTTAGGCAGTACATGGTAGTACATGGCATTACCGTTTCCAAATGTTTGCAAATTTCAAACAGAACAAAGCAAGATCTACAAACTCCTTTTGAGGCACCGAAATGCAGAATCCCTTCCGCCGGGAAACCGAGATAGCCATCAGAGCATCTGGCATGCACCATGAGGCGATCCTCAGTTGACGGTTCGAATTGGCAGAAAATTGAGAAACACCAATGATACGGTACCAAAATGTAACAAACAGGATCAATACACTTTTCGAATCTGTTCGATCACTTAAGTGACACGACCAAGTATGTCTCGACAAGTTTCTTCAAGATTTCCTGCCTTCTTGTTCTTTTTTGAAGATCAATACTTTTGGAACACTTTACGACCAACCGTGCTGTCTTGCAAACAAACACCAAATGGTTTTAACATGTTTTAACATTCCACAATCGCAAGGAAAATTAAGGTCTGGATCTCAGGATGGGTCAGAATTGAAACATTTCAAAAACTGGACAGTGAATACGTCATGAATACGTGAGAATACGAGGCATCACCAAAATGTGTGGCTTCCCTTGAAACATCTTGAAACATCAAGGATCCATTCGGAGATCAACTTCGTCCAGTTTGTAGCCGTCGGCATTTGGAGGTGAGAGGCATTTCCTGGGTGCGCAAGAAATGTCATCCAGGAACATAGTAAACCATAGTAAACCATAGTAGACCTATGAGCAAGCTATGAAAAGCATTGAAAAACTATGAAAAACATTTGGATCTTCCGCTGGATGAAGTATCGAAATTTCATTTGGCTCACTTCAAACAAATTCAGCAGCTTCGTCTGCGCAGCTGACAACTGACCAAGGCTCTCGACTTTTTTGCAGCCGGCCAGTATGTAGTCTCCGCCTGAAACTGATTAAACTTGTGCACTCTTCCAGGCCAGAAAATTTCAAACACTTTGATTTGCATCGCATCGCACAATGGAACCTACAGGTTGCTTTACTGTAGTCTTGGATAGTCTTGGCCAGACTTGGATTGATTCACATGTCTATAGTCTATATACATTTTTTCAACAGCTTTTGACGTGTTGAGGAAGAAATCCCATTGAGCAACCTGTCAATTAACTTCTAGCCTTTGCTGCCAAAACATCTGTTCAAGCGTGCACGCACCCCGCCTGTTGGAGAACAGGCAATCACAGTGGCGCTGCCTTTGTAGCCAGCCTTGCACTCAGCCGTCACGTCGAAGAGACTTTGTGTCAGCCTAATGGAAAGGAGACAAGGCAAACTCTACTCATTGGAACACATTGTTGCTACTAGTATCAACGAAGTTGCTTAATAGAGTTAAATGGAATAAGCACAAATCTGCAAAACTACTCCAAACTGCAGCCTGAACACGAATTCTCCTTTACTGTATACCCCTCGGTTGTTGTTGGTCTCTTGCAAACCACGTTGTCTTTGGTGCAGCCGCTGAGAACCTCAGATTCAACAGAAACAAATAGTTTGACTTTGCAAAACACATCTGTTCAAGATAAGAGACTTGAAGCACAATGAGTACCCAACTACTAGTAGTACCCAATCTTGACACACATTGAAACCACTCGAGCTGAAGTGATATGCTAAACTGACACACTAGACCCCTATGAATGCCTCTGATATATCTGATATATCTGATGAAGCTAAAACCAAGTCACATAGGCTTCGTTCGGCTCATCGCAAGGTGTCACTGCAGCTGTCCCGACGTAACCTGACTTGCATGTAGCCTTCACATCGAACTGGAAAGGGAGGATGTAGAGGTCAGTTTCCTGGGAGCATCCCAGCAGGGTTTCATCAAAGGCTGTGTTCATTACGCAAAGCCTGGGAATCCAGTGTCGGCAGTGTCAGCGTCTGAACGTATTTCACAAATATGTAATATATTATTATATATATAATATAATTAAATATATATAATATATAATTATATAATATTATATATATAATATAATCCGCCGACCCCGGCCTTCGCCAAGGCCGGGGCGGCGCCTGGGACCACCGCAGGTGTGGAACTTTTCCGCGCACATAGCCCTCTCTCGTTAAGGTACCAACAAGCCCAACACGCGCCACTCCCGCACACAAAAGCCACCACAAGGCCACAGCAATGGCTCAAGAGCACCCCACGGCCGCAGCAATGGCTTCTTATACGCGTTCAAGGCTGCCGTTTGCCAGGCCTCAAACGCTCCAAAACCCTCCAAAACCCTCCAAACCCTCCAAAAGTCCGGCCAGCTCCGCAGGAAAAGGTACCCCAACAAGCCCAACACGCGCCACTCCTGCACGCAAAAGCCACCACAAGGCCACAACAGCAATGCTTCTTATACGCGTTCAAGGCTGCCCAGGCCTCACGCCTCCAAACCCTCCAAAAGTCCGGCCAGCTCCGCAGGGAAAAGGTACCCCAACAAGCCCAACACGCGCCACTCCGCACGCAAAAGCCACCACAAGGCCACAGCAATGGCTCAAGGGCACCCCACGGCCGCAGCAATGGCTTCTTATACGCGTTCAAGGCTGCCGTTTGCCAGGCCTCAAACGCTCCAAAACCCTCCAAAACCCTCCAAACCCTCCAGTCCGGCCAGCTCCGCAGGGAAAAGGTACCCCAACAAGCCCAACACGCGCCACTGCCGCACGCAAAAGCCACCACAAGGCCACAGCAATGGCTCAAGGGCACCCCACGGCCGCAGCAATGGCTTCTTATACGCGTTCAAGGCTGCCGTTTGCCAGGCCTCAAACGCTCCAAAACCCTCCAAACCCTCCAAAAGTCCGGCCAGCTCCGCAAGGAAAAGGTACCCCAACAAGCCCAACACGCGCCACTCCCGCACGCAAAAGCCACCACAAGGCCACAGCAATGGCTCAAGAGCACCCCACGGCCGCAGCAATGGCTTCTTATACGCGTTCAAGGCTGCCGTTTGCCAGGCCTCAAACGCTCCAAAACCCTCCAAAACCCTCCAAACCCTCCAAAAGTCCGGCCAGCTCCGCAGGGAAAAGGTACCCCAACAAGCCCAACACGCGCCACTCCCGCAGGCAAAAGCCACCACAAGGCCACAGCAATGGCTCAAGGCACCCCCCGGCCGCAGCAATGGCTTCTTATACGCGTTCAAGGCTGCCGTTTGCCAGGCCTCAAACGCTCCAAAACCCTCCAAACCCTCCAAAAGTCCGGCCAGCTCCGCAAGGAAAAGGTACCCCAACAAGCCCAACACGCGCCACTCCCGCCCGCAAAAGCCACCACAAGGCCACAGCAATGGCTCAAGGGCACCCCACGGCCGCAGCAATGGCTTCTTATACGCGTTCAAGGCTGCCGTTTGCCAGGCCTCAAACGCTCCAAAACCCTCCAAACCCTCCAAAAGTCCGGCCAGCTCCGCAAGGAAAAGGGGTACCCCGCAAGGAAAAGGTACCCCAACAAGCCCAACACGCGCCACTCCCGCACGCAAAAGCCACCACAAGGCCACAGCAATGGCTCAAGGGCACCCCACGGCCGCAGCAATGGCTTCTTATACGCGTTCAAGGCTGCCGTTTGCCAGGCCTCAAACGCTCCAAAACCCTCCAAAACCCTCCAAACCCTCAAAACCCTCCAAAAGTCCGGCCAGCTCCGCAGGGAAAAGGTACCCCAACAAGCCCAACACGCGCCACTGCCGCACGCAAAAGCCACCACAAGGCCACAGCAATGGCTCAAGGGCACCCCACGGCCGCAGCAATGGCTTCTTATACGCGTTCAAGGCTGCCGTTTGCCAGGCCTCAAACGCTCCAAACCCTCCAAACCCTCCAAAAGTCCGCCCAGCTCCGCAGGGAAAAGGTACCCCAACAAGCCCAACACGCGCCACTCCCGCACGCAAAAGCCACCACAAGGCCACAGCAATGGCTCAAGGGCACCCCACGGCCGCAGCAATGGCTTCTTATAGGCGTTAAACCCTCCAAACCTTCCAACTCCTCCAAAAGTCCGCCCAACTCCGATGCAAAAGGTACCCCAACAGGCGCCACGCCCGCACGCAAAAGCGACGACAAGGCCACAGGCTTGAGAAGCAAACGGCCATATGTCTGTCTTGCTGTCCGTCTCCCTCTCTCTCTCTACAGTACCCCCCTCCAATTAGGGGGGTCGGCGGCACCTGGGCGCTAGCCCATTCTATTATATATATATATATTATTGCGGTGAGGAGCTGTCACGTCATAGCCTTCTGCAGCTGCATCGGACATACATGACACTTTAGGCCGACAGCCAGTCAAATGGTATTCCTTGGTGCACTTAGCTAAGCAAAGCTTTGAGTTTCCACTGGGGTTTAGGTGTCAATGAGAATTCAACATAATTCCAATCCATATCAATGTCTCACCAGCTGACAGCGCTATGTTGCTAAGCCAAATGCCTTTTGGTTGGAGCTGCATGGAATCACTTTCGCCTTGCCCACATGAGATGGGGTGCATTGCCCCACCACATCGAAAGTCTTGGCCTGACACGACTGCAGCTGCTACGACGTTACGAGCGGAAAGCCGAGATCTCGGAATTCATTTGTCTGAGTCTGTTCCCATTTTCATGCATTATGCAAGGTTCTGCACTCGTCTTTTTTATGAATTTGGACAGCGTGTGCGCCCTTCAAAATCGTCATTTTTTCATCACTTCACTTTGCTGGGTACCAGTGACAGGACTAATTGGCATCGGACTTGAATGGCCCCACAAATCCAGGACAAGACTTTTTACTTGCACATGAGAATACATGAGACATTCATCATTCCGTTTGCACCGGCACCATCTGCATCCAAGAAGCTGCAAGTTCATTCTCCTTGGATGAAAGAGACACAACACAATCACGTTTCATCGGGCAGCCTGGTGCATCTCTAGAGCGCTCTGCATGATCCCAGAACTTGACGGATCCCACTATGAAACGTCCCGGTTTTCAATGCTAATTCTTATACTTTCTACATTTTTCTACTGAATCTTTGTCACAGAAAGAACATCATCACTGTCCAAGTTGCGGTGAGGAGGTACCTCGGATCGGCTGACATGCTGAACGCTGCCATTCTGAACGGGGCACTAAAAAGGATTCCGGTTTCTCAGCCAAGAAGTTCCGTGTGTAAGTGAATTGAAAGGATACGAGTAGCCGGTCCGTGAATCCTTATTTTTAATTATCTTAATTATCTCGAGGGATCCCCGGGGTATGTTCGATCAATGGAAGGTTACAAGATATACAAAATATTAGAAGTGAAATTGGAATACCTGCGTCCTCCTGGGTTCCCTGGTCCCAAGATATCCTAAGGTTCTGGCTCAAAATGAATAAAAAAGGTACAGTACTTACCTCCGAGGTACCCAGTGCTGTCGGCGGGACCCTGGCAATAGTCACCGTCTTTGTAGCATCCGGACAGGAAGTACCGCCTTGCATGGACAACTCTACTGGCGAATTTGCACCCTGCCAGATCATGCTAGCTGCTAGATATTCCAATGTGGATCTTCCAAGCACCAAATCTGTGACCAACTGTTTGGCCAGAAGACGTGCAAATCAGCTTAGCTTAACAGGCTTTCAACATGAAAAGTCAATGCACTGTGCAATAATTATCAATGAAATCTCAAAAAAAATCCTTGGATGATCCTTGGATGCACCATGACATTCCTATGACAATCATATGACTGACATACCACCAGGAGCCCGGATGCGCCCCAGCTGAACTTGGCTGCAGACTTTTGAGCGCCACATCCTGTGGCTTGAGGCTTGCCTGCATAGCCTGGAGCACACTCCACTGAGACCTGGCGAGGCTGAATCTGGAAGAAACCTGGAAGAAACCTGGAAGAAACGATGTAGAAACTATGTAGAAACACAAAAGAAAGGATGCACCAAAGGATTTTCCACCATCTTTTACCATATTTTACCTTGATATTCTATAATATTCTTGCTTATTGAAATTTACTGACATGTATTCAAATTATATTCCCGCAGGAATACTGTCAAGCCATAGTCTCTTATTTCATTTGCGTCTAGACTAGACCTGTCAAGGGCTCACATCTTCCTTGTTTTCTTGCTTGGCAGAAATACCCATACTGACATGATTCGACATGCCTGAAATTCATGGGCCGCCAAGGAAATCTCGTTGACAACGTAGCCTTTCGTATCTTTTGGACTTTGGCAAACAGCGATTGCCTTGCACCCGCTCCTTGTGTAGCAGGGAATGCTTCAGACATCTTTAAGCATGTGGTTGCCTCATGCTGCCTTCATGTTTTACTCAGACTTCAAAATTTCAAAAGTGTCAAAATGTGAGATCCAAGATGAGGTGAAGCCGAGCAGATTCAGAAGTGTTGCATAGTCTGTCAGTCTGTCATGCTTTGTTTCCATATTTTCCGAAGCTGTTTCCAAGCTGCCAAGGTACAATCGGTATTCTTGAGAATTGTCCGCGCAGGGAGTCACTTTTGCCTTGCCGATGAAGCCTTTACCGCACGTTGCTGTCACACCGAACCTTAGATCACAATAGCTATGAGCTTGGAGAGGAGCATGTCGACAACGCGGCGGGTCATAATCGCTATCAGTTTCTGCTCGCCGAGTTCCACCATCCTACGGAATTTATTTCACTTAGCATCAGGCTTGTGAAGCTGCATGTTGGTCTCCGTAACTTCATAGCCCTGCACTGACGAATCTCTTGCAGCGACACAAGTGCGTAGTTGTGCAACAACTAAGATGTGAGATCATCATGCAGCCAACAGAGCTTGCTTATTGTGTGATGATGTGTGATGTTTCGACTTTCTTAAGACGACGAAAGGTGCTTTTAGCATCTTTTAGCAATACCTGCAGCAATACCGGTTCAAGTTCTCATACCATCGTGCTTCAGAATCAATAATCTTAAAATGTATGATGCAAACCAATACACACTATAAACTATAAACACACCCATATATTGTCTGGGGTACAGGGAAGTGGGTCATATGTTGGACTGCCATTCACAGGCTCAATACAAATGAATCTACAGAATCTACAGCAGTCTGTTGTTAGGAGTGAGCCTCAGAGTCTTTTGGAGCTTTGCACCATTTTCTGAAGTTACATCCATCCAGCACCTATCAATGGCACAGGATGACAGCATTGCAAAACGCCAATAACATCCAATAACATCCAATAACCATTGCAAGACTATTGCAAATGCACTTCGCCCTATGATGAGTTCCCCACGTAAGGCGTGTTTCCTTCTGCGCAAGGAGTAACTGATGCCTCGCCGTAGTACCCAGAAGCACACGTTGCCTCCACCTTAAACCTCAGATGGTCTCAAATTGTGTGCGAAGCTGGGGGTTCAACCTGAACAGCGTGTGCAAATGTAGATGGAATGTGACGTGAATATCGTGATTGCACAACATTTAGACACACAAACACACACACACAATATATAATATATATATATAATATGATACACAATAGTATAAAGTATGTGTGTATGTTATATATAATTATGATGACTGTGGGCATTTTGCAATCTGAGTGACCCATTGACTTCCTTGCTAGTCTCCTTGGCTGCACTCAACCCAGAATCCACGTACGGTGCCCTTGAACAGGATTGCGGTCATAGTCCACTGTCCACTGTCACAGTCCAAACAAAGGTCCATAAAGGTCTAGGGTGCAGGCATCAGTAGAAACTATTCATCTTTTGTCAACCATAAGATGGCAAATCAATCACCCACATGCCGTCCAGACACAGTCACTGCGTAGCCTCTTTGATCCACAGGACTTTGGCACGAGACAGTCCTGAGCAGAAGTGGTTGAACAACAGGACAACTTCTGAAAACAATGCGAAAGCGCAGCGGTGCCAACTGTTCATAATTATATATATAATATGGTTTAACATGGTTTCACTGTGCAAACTCCAGGGCCTCAAGTTATGGGTCCGTCATTGTCAGTGTAATGACAAAGTATTGCTGTGAAGGCCTGCCTATAGTTGACACGTGGGAAGAAATACAAAAAACATTGCAAACAAACCAACAAAATCCAACAAATCCGCGAAACGATCGACATTTGCACCATATCTATCCATCTTTTGCTTTTCCATGAAGTCTTCTTGAAGGCACGTGCATGTTTTGACGAGTAGCTTGCTGCATCCCGAGACTTTGAAGGCCTCACCCTGTGCTGTGCAAACTTCCACAGATGGGCTGCCGCTGAAGCCCTCGGCGCAGCCTGCTTTCACTTCGAAGTTGAAGATCTGAAGTGATTTCGCCTGCAAGGCATACCTGCGACGTGTGGAGAGTTGTCTTGCGGGGTTCGCTTTGTGATGCAGTGGCCTTCTGACCACCATGTGCCATCAGATCCTTCGTCACAAAGTTGTCTATGGTTGTCTGAAGCTGCTGCTTCCATATCCATACAACTTTGAGAACATATACACACATATACGTACAAACATACATACAAACATACGTACAAACATACGTACAAACATACATATTATACGAGTACAATCATATAGACTACACTGTTTTGTAGAGGAAATTCAACATCATCTAGGGGACATGATGACTAGCGTTGTTGTATCAGATCTACAGGGGGACTTCACCACATTGAAGGTAATTCTTGACATATGCCAAGTTTCCTGTCTGCGAAACGTCAGTACTAAAGGAATCTAAGATCATCTAAGATCTAAAGCGACCCCTGTGCTGAAAAAACGTCTCTACTGACATGATTCTCTCGCCGACATAATGATCCATCGTGTCATCCCCCCGCTTCCCCGCGAGGCAAAACCAAGAGACCCACTAGTGTCTTCAGGAACTCCACATGTCCTTCTGTCTGGTTCCTCAGCTCTCAGTCTCAGTGGTTTCAGTGGTCCTCCATCCCCGCAGACACTCGCAGAAACTTGATGAGCACAGTCAAACGACATGAAGGCGTGCGAGTACGTGACAGAAGTCTCACTCGGAGTGGTGTTTTTTGGTCTTGTAGTTGTATTGCCATGTGCATATGTGTGTTTGCTTGTATACAGATATATAATGATATATATGTATATATATATATGTCGATGGTTGATCAAAATTCCTTTAACCGCAAACGGCCAGTCTTCGCGAATAAAAACGTTACTTTCGCGAAACTTTCGCCAACTCCACGTTTGTTTTTCGCGGGGCCCATGTTGGGCAACGACGCCTCTTATGAAGCTTATGAAGATTCGTTCACCACCTGCCAAATTATGCCAGAGAATCACGGAGTTCTTGATAGCCTTTTTAAACATGCAGCTAGCATCACGGAATCTCTTCTCAGGACAGATTTGCTGACTAGTTTTTTTTTTGCAAGGTTTGCTGACCCACCCCCTTAAACATGCACATTGACTTTCGCCCACTCCTTCGCGGAACTTTCGCGAAAATATCCCTATTCACAGACCCCGGCCATCAGCACACCAGGGGCCTTGGTGTTTGGCACTCGCAAAGCCTCACTTTTGGAACTTGCCTGCTGCATTTGGAGCTTGCTTCTTGAGACTTCAAAAATCATGATTAGGCAGTGACAGCGGCAGGTGCAAGGATGTGCTTCAGGACCATGGTGTTTGGCTGTCGCGAAGCCTCACCTTTGGAAGCTCGGCTGCTACTTATGAAGGGCAAAGTGATTGTCCAAAAGCACCACCACACAGGGAACTGAACCAGAACCAAACCGAAATTCTTCGGTGCCCTTCTCCTGCCGGACCCCAGGCGGCAATGGGTGGCAGACCTTCACATAATGATTCTAATATCCAACTTTCGGGAAAGTTTCGCAAAAAAAAACAAGTTACTTTCGCGAACTCGAAAATAAACTTTCGCAGGGGTTCCCGACATAACATGAACGGTCTTCGCAATTAAAACTCTTTACAAGGCAAGGACCTTTCGATCGATCACCAATATACATATGTATGTGTGTATGCATATATATATATATATTAAATGTATAAATGTATGTATGTATGTATGTCTGTATGTCTGTATGTCTGTATGTCTGTATGTATGTATGTATGTCTGTATGTCTGTGTATGTCTGTGTATGTCTGTGTGTGTCTGTGTATGTCTGTGTATGTCTGTGTATGTCTGTGTATGTCTGTGTATGTCTGTGTATGTCTGTGTATGTATGTGTATGTATGTGTATGTATGTGTATGTATGTGTATGTATGTGTATGTATGTGTATGTATGTGTATGTATGTGTATGTATGTGTATGTATGTGTATGTATGTGTATGTATGTGTATGTATGTGTATGTATGTGTATGTATGTGTATGTATGTGTATGTGCGAATCGGGGATTGCCTGTCCGATTATGTCCTGGTAGTGAGTGTTGAAGTGATTGCTTCGGTGATGACGTTACACGGGCAACAGCTTCCGCATGGCGTTTCTTTACTCTGTTGCTGCAGTGGGTCTTGAGCCAAAGAGGCCAGTTTGAAGTGCCCCTTTGGTACTGGATCCTAGAGTGTCTAATTGTGATAATATACAATGGTCCGTAGCCTACACTCTATTCGCACCCCCCACGCACAGCCAACTTTGTTGGCTGCGCGCAAAGGAGTGTCCTTTAAATTGATCCACTACACTCGCAGCTGTTCATTTATTGAATTATGGAGAGCTAAAGTCCGTTCAGAACTTCTAATCTACAAGGCGGCTTGCTACGATCTCTACCAAAAGATAAAGGTTCTGTTCACGTGCATGTAGACACGACGTAGTCGGTGTCTAGCATTGAGGTTCATCCGATGTGGCGTAGCCAGCATGGAGTCTCTCTCAAGCATGTGAATTAAAGAAATCAAAAACACAAAGTTGACTATGGAATTAGAAGTTTACCTTCCCGTTCCTTCGTCGGTTGAGATGTAGACCGCTGTAGAAACTCAGCGTCTCGTGCAATGATGTTCAAAAAAATATGTGGTTCTAAATTAGCCGGCTCAGAGTCCTCTCAGAAATCATTCGAAATGAAGTAGAGGTAAATCTCGAGCAATGATTGCATCCTCGCGTCGCCAGGTTCAATCAGGACCTATGCAGAGGTCATATCGATTAATCATCTATATCCCCATCCATAGTATCCCTGTTGGTTCCAGTCTCCGCCACGGTGTGAATAAGATTTTCCACCTTTTCCTTGATCTTTTCCACCCTTCTTTGGCGGGGTCACTGGAGCTTGTTTTGGCGGAGGTGCGGTTTCAACTGTTCTCCATGTTGCTGACGATGATGCTTTCGCTTTTGACACTATTCCCAATGCTGGTGCTGCTTTTGGAGCTGCTTTCGACTTGCCAGCGGCTGGGTTAGTACGTTCACGATCAGCAGGAGTTGGGGTATCAGCAATCGCAAGTATATGGGCGTCGGTCATGTGGATGCCCCACCTTGGTCGTTGATCTTCCCGTTGCTTGATGTGATTGTAGTCATCGATTGCATCATATAGCTTCTGGAGTAGAGGTCGTGGCAATTGTCGGCCATTTTGAAGGATCAGGTGTAAAAGTGATATTCTTCGAAGTGGTGGACGAAGAGCACACACAATGTCAACTGGATTCAGTGTGATTGTGTCTTGAAAGTCGACGTTCCTGAAGAAATAAACAGCATTCACCCTATATGCACCTGCAATGATTCTTCTGACCATGACGTCTTGTCGGTCAAGGGCTTCGCGGGCCGCTGTGGTCTTTCTCATCTCATCCATTGTTGTGTCACGTTTCGACAGCTTCTCCATCTCCTCATCAAAGAAGATATTTTGCAAGTCATCATACGTATAGCCACATTCAAGGGTATATATGAGAAGTCGCTTGAGTACCACTGCCCCATAATATGCATTGACGAATCCCTCTTCTCCGATGTCGTCCTTTTGATTTGGTCGGCCGATCTCTTTGTAGAGCTCTTTCATCTGTTGTGCAGTTGGTTCAATGAGTTCACCATTTTCATCCTCGCCTAGGTAAGGCACTCTTGAGTCCAGGTCCATCCTGAATTTCTGGTTCTGCTGAAAATGTTTCCATGCCGTCTCGATGTCTCCACAGAAGTTCCGTTGGAATAGTCTGTAGATCCTGACGATATGTAATCCAATCTGCAACAGGAGGATCTTGATGAGCTCCGGCTGAGCATCTCCAATTGTGCAAGGCTCGATTGGTAGGACCTTTGATCCAAACTCAATCCGCTTCATCCACTTGGGGAACTCAATCACTGCATCACGAGCTTCTCCAGCCTCGTACTCTTCAATGTTGATTTCATCGACCGCTATCTCTTCATCGTCGTTCTCGTCGGTCGGTTTTCCTTCCTGATTGAGAAATTTGTCGACCTCATCTTGTTCTCTGAAGTCTCTTTTCTCATCATTGATGTCGCCCTTCTTCGAGGCTTGATCATCATCTCCTTCTTCTGGTTGAGTTTCTTGTTCTGGACTCTTCATGGTGACGTCATCATCATCTGGCATCACCTCGTCGTCATCACCATCACCTGTCAAATCGATCTTCACCTCCTCCCATGCTTTCTTGACATGGTCTTTGAGATCTTCTTCTCGATGATGTGATTCGGCACTTGGTACTGTAGCCACGGTGATCTTGATTCGTTTCCTCCATCCATGACTCACCAAAAATCCTTTGCACATCACACAAATCGATAATGGTGCAGGGGTCTCCATCAGACATGCGGGGCATAGTCGATGGTCCTCCTTGCTGGGATGATGAGTGACTGCCAACAATGATATTGCATCATTCCAATCCGGATGTCCAGGGAACAATCTGTGAGTATGACTGAAGTGACCGGTCCTGATATCGACAAGTTTTCGAAGTTCGTCCAGATCGGGTGATGATTCATCAGGCACAATGTTCCCAATGAGCTTGTCAAATCGTTCAATGGTGGCCACCCTCTTTGCTCCTTGCACAGAAAGGACAAGTTGATCTCTTCCCTTTGTGATCATGAGACGGTAGTAGTCCTTTTCCCTCCAGTCGTAATACCAAACTGCATCGAATGATTCGAATGGAATTGTTTCTTGGACCAAAATGTGTCCGTCTGCTGACAATCTAGGGGAGAACTTGGCGATGGAATCGTACGTGATGTAGATGTAGACAAGATCAGTTTGATCAATCTTCCTGAATCTCAGCACCATCTGACTTCGCACGTCCCACGGTGCGAATGGCACGAAGAACGTATTGATGCGGTCGCCTCCTCCTCCAGGACGTAGTCCTTCTCTGAAGATTTGAGCGATGTTGTCAAATGTGGTGCAGTGAAATCCTCCTCCAAGAGTGTATCCTACTCCAGGGTTCGTCTGATAGGAAGTCTTCTTGTCTTCGATGTGCACACCGCCTTGAACTCTTGAATGTGCCATAGGGGCACGGATTGCCACCGGCCAAAGCCAAATCTCTCGATCTGCTGTGCCGATCTCCAACCTCAATGTTTGTCGATCAAGTCTAGAGGTCAATCCATCATTGAAGTTGTTCATGATGTGTTCCAACTCACCTTTTGTGACCTTGAGTCCTAGCACTTGAGCTCGGATTCTTTTCGTTTGCTTGTACTCAGTGAAGATCACTCTCTGGAAATTGTTCCACCTCTCAACAAGTATCGGGTAGTTAACATGGGTTGTTCCGGCCAATGTATGTTGGTCTCTCCAAATGGCATCGTACTTCAAGATCGACTCAACATTGACCCAACCTGCCTCATCGCATGGTAGTCCACGGTGATTTCGATTGTCTTTGACGCAACCCACGGAGTGGCGTAGCGCTGCATTGAATCTTTTCGACAATTCGACTATCCATTGCGGATTTTCCCACTTGTTGCCCATCCACTCATTCTCGCCATATCGATGCACTTTACACCAGCCCATTCCAAGATATTCTTCTCCATTGATGCGAGCAAGTTGAAGTGTACCA